ATTCCAACTTTCTGGCTTTTACCTTAAAATATGTGTCTTTAGAGCCTTCGGGTCAGGGTCCCATGCAGGATCCTGTGACAAGTCGGGGAGTTTGAGTTACTGGGAACCTTCGGGGCTGAAAGCGCTTAGGATCTAAGAGGGTCCACAGGGTTTTGCAGTTTTGCAGGGAAGAACCTTTCTAGGCGAAGAAGCTTTGTCTACTTCAAAAGCGTTTTGTCGGGTCTACTAGGGTGTACCTAGAGTAACCAATGCACATTTAGAAAGGAATATGACCCTGTATAAAAACGATACATTTTCCAGTTTTAAAGGTATCTTGGTTACTCTAGTAGTTTAGAATAATATGCATGTTTGGAAATGGAGGGTGGTGTGGTAGGGCTTAGTCGGATTCTTCAGTCTCAGACCGGCGAATGAAATCCCAGATCCAAAACCGGGCGCCCAAACCTTTAAACCCACCACTGCATATGTGCCTAGACTTACCCTAAGGCTCAAACTGGCCCAAAAGCCTTATATAATATGGTCTTTAGGCTCACAAGCCTTAAAATATGAGTCCTTAGAGCCTTAGACTTAAACTTAAACCCCTAATTCAACCCTGAGCTCCAACCTAGACCTCCCAAGTACCCTCTTACTTTGAGATGTTTGGGTCGAGCTATAGTCTCCATTGTAGTTCCTGTTTTCGGTTTAACCAATTTTTTATTCAGGATCTTAAAAGGTAACCCTAGTTCCTTTTTTTGGTTTAACCACTTTTGTATTAAGGATCCTAAACGGTAACCCCCAAGAGGAACTACAATGGAGACTAGAGGGAACTACTGTTGATGGACAAAATCCTGCATTACCCATTATAAGGAATATACCATAGTTCCCATAGTTTAGGGTCCTCAAGGTCATGCAGGATTTTGTCCATCAACAGTATCAAGTCGAGGACGGCCTGCCCAGCTCGCATTCCAGCAGCGCAGACCTGTGCGGCACCTCAACGTCAATCTCTCACACATGCAAGCCCTAAGGGTCCATGTACCCATATAGAGATACATGGGCCCCAAAGTACCTATATAGGGACTACATTAAGGCCAATGTATCTAGTATATGAGTACATGGACCCTTAGGGCAAGTGTGAGTGTGGTTTATAATTATAAGGGTTTAGGGTTTAGCGTTTAGTGTGAGTGGGTTGATAAGGGTTAGAGGCAAAGCAACCTTTAACTCCTAGTACGCGCCCTGGTTATTGCGATTCGCAGTTCTCTTCTAGTCCCCATTTCTTGCGACCACATCACACTTTTCGCCTACATGGGAGTTTCGGAAAAAAGGGCACCCTAGTATATTGCCCTAAATAGTAGGACCCCTTACATAAGGACCCCAAAATAAGGTACCCCAATTTCCGGAAACTCCCATATAATCTGAACAGAAACTTGTTGTTAATACACCAAGCCCTAGAAATAACCCGGCAGGGGTGAATTACAACCCTTGGACAGAAAGCCCAAGAGGGCCTTCTAAAACTTGTCGGAGACCCTTACATGATGAATAGGAACTCTACTAAACGCCCCTTCTTCAGAGAGGTGCTCTGGTAGCTGGGGCGCAGACGACGCAGCACCGCCAACTCTGCCGCACTCTTCACCAGCCGCTGGGCCGGAACCAGCCGGGATGCGTCACACAGCGTCCAACCAGCGAGCTTCGCCTAGGGCTTTCTAGGCCGTATAGGGTTTAGGGCTTCAGCGACCCAAATCGTCTAGCTTCCCCAGTACTCGCCCCGAACACCTGTCCGCTTATTCACCAAATCAACAAACAAAGGGTGCATAGTGCGGGGACCCGGATAGTAAAGACACTCGACCGAAAAAGATCCCGGCCCGACTTCACCCTATAATTGGATCCTTTGTGGATAATGTAAGAACCTGATTAAGAAAATCTGGGCATATAACCCCAAAACATAGTAGGGTTTATATAAGGAGCCCTATTAACGGCCCAGGGTTTAGTAATCAGGTTCCTACATTAGGTCAAACAGGAATTCAAAGACATCTCATCTCGATTCCTGTGCCATGCTGAAACTGTAGAACCTTATACAACACTAATCCTGTGGCCGCTTTGTTCTATAAGGAGTAGGGAGAACCCTATGGTAGATCCTACACCTCTGTAAACCCTGAACCCACTAAACCCCCCAAAAGCCCTAAACTCTAATTAAACCCTACAAAACGTCAACCCGTACACCCTACCTACACCTCTACCCCTACATCCCACCTACACCTAAAATCATATTATAAACCCTAGACCATTTAAACCCCTAAAGCCCTACCTACACCTCTATCCTCAAATCCTACGCCTCTATTATAAACCCTATAGACGCCCCTTAGACCTGGACCCCTATCCTTAAATACCATGCCTCTATTGTAAACCCTCTGCGCCGCTTGAATGTGTAGTTGTCAAAATTCGGGTCCAAGTCTGGGCATCCTAAAGATTAGGCGCCGTACTATAATAAGGACCCAAAAAAGGACCCGAATTTTGACAATTACCCAGAGACTCCAATACCCCTTAATTAAGGAATATTCCTGAAATCATACTAGGGATCCTATTATGACTTATGGCATATTCCTTAATTAAGGAATATTGGAGTCTCTGGGTACCCGAATCAAAAACCGGGCGCCTCCAGGCGGCGCAGGTGCCGTGCGAAGAGGCGGCGAGACTGAAGCTCCAGTCCCAGCTTACCTTGGGTTAGTAGGGAATGGTAGAGTTCCCTTAAAGGGGGTCTATAAGGGTTACTATAAGGGATCTATACTTACCTTGGGTTAGTAGGGAATGGAGGAATGGGGTAGAATTATAACTACTATTACTACCGCTCTTCCATTCCCTACTAACGAAAAGTAAGCCAGGCGGCAGCTCTCACTGAGCGAGCCGAGCACTTCCTGGGCTTTTCCATGTTGTTTGGGGGGTGTAGAAAGGGTTTAGGACTTATGGGCTTTAGCTTTTCATTTTTGGGGAGTTTAGGGTTTAGGACTTCCTGTTCTTGGTTTTATGTTGTTCCTTTTTTCTGTGGGCGTTTAGGGTTTAGGGCACTTCCTTGGCTTTTCCTTCTTCTGGGTATAGGGTTTGGAACTTCCTGGTTTTGTTTAAAGACTTCCTATGTTTTGCCGCGCTTTTTTTCCCGATTGTTGGGGTTTCTAGGGTTTAGGACTTCCAGGGCCTGTCTTTGTGGGTTTCTGGCTACTCCATACCCAGAGCCTCCCTGCAGGGGTTGAATCGCTAGCGTCTCTTGAGCGTCAGGGATTTCAGGGTGTATACGGGGCAATCTCAAAGGGTCCTATGTAGCTATTACCTATATAGTAGAATGTAGGGTTTCTATACTAGGATTATACTAGTATGATTTAGGGAAGTATCCCCATAACAGTACCTAGGACCCTTTGGGAATATCAACCCAAGCAAGGTCACTCATATGTAAATATGAGGGATATCAAAAATGCGTGCTCTATTGTTTGCCAGGCATCGCATACCTTGTCGATGCCACTCTCAAAGTCGGCGTAAGCATGCAGGTTCTTCTGGCGTAAGTTGCTGCGGTAAGTGGCGTTTGTCACTTCCAGGAGACGGGTGACCAAGCTGGGCTCACCAGCAGCGGGTATGATCAACGCCTGGATCTCAGGCTCCCCAACTGTCTGATACCCTGTCAGGTAGAAAATATTTTCAGGCTCCGTAAGCAAGAGGAAGTCCAGCTGCCTTGGGAAGAGCCCACGACGTCAAAGCTTCAATTCCTGCTTCTAGTCTGCGTTTGATGGCCGCAACTGGCGATCTACTCTACACCACGCATGGCGCAATCAATATGGAGCAATGCAGGCTCAGTGAGAACAAAAGGTGCCGAATTCTGTCGGGATTCTGCTTCGCCATGCCTTCTTGGGTCAGCTTCAACCGCTTGGCATACTCCTCAGGCGAAAACGGCAAGGGATGTCGGAAGCTGGGCATGGGAGGGACAGTGGCCATGTCTCCCTGCAAGACTAGGCTGCCAGGCTAACTACCGACATCGTCTACCTTGAGCTGCTGAGCCTGCCGGCGAGATTTGCAGTGGCAGGACGACGAAGATATCGATAAAGTCACGCAAGACAACCAGAAGCACGAAACGCAAACAACGACACCCTAACGTCCTACGTCCGAAGTCGAGAACCCGAGATCCTGTGAAAGACACAAGAACTTGAGAGTCACCCTAGAGCTCCAGCTACCCAAAGGTAGGTTTCTAACCATCTATTAGGTACTCCAGTAACCGACTATTTCCGGGCGTTTAAGGAACCAGGGAGAAAAAAGTATAAGCTGTTATTTCATAATGCTTCGATTTAAGCGGAAAAAAGCATTCAAGTATGATACTCCAAAGCCCAGACTTACCTATAGTCTCCATTGTAGTTCCTCTTTTTGGTAAACCGAAATCTCTGTTATAGGGTCCTAACCATAAAACTGGTTAACCAAAAAGGAACTACAATGGAGACTATAGGTAAATCTGGGCTTTGGAGTATCATACTTGAATGCTTTTTGTGCTTAAATGGAACCATTATGAAACAACAGTTTATACTTTTTCTCCCTGGTTCCTTAAACGCCCAAAGCCCAGATTTAGACTATGGAAGACCGATTGAGCAGGCTGCCGCGAGACTTCGCTGCCCAGAGGCCTCTGAAACCCGGCTTTGAATCCGGAAGACCTAATGTAGGAATTAGGTTTAGGGTTTAGGGTAATGTAGGAACCTGATTAAGAAACCTTGGGCCTTTCTTAGGGCTCCTTATATGAACCCTACTATGTTTAGGGGTTATTGGCCCAGGGTTTCTTAATCAGGTTCCTACATTAGTGTAGAATCGCAAGCCCCACCTGGGAGGTTGTCAAAATTATGGTTCCCCTTTTGGGTACCCTAAATAATAGGTACCGTATTATATGATTAGGGACCCAAAAAGGGACCCTAATTTTGAGAACCACCCACCTGCAATACTGGCTTTAGGGTTTATAGGTTTTAGGGTTCGGGGTAGCGCAGGGGGTGTTCCGGGGCCGCAGCAGCCACTTCGTCTTGGATTTCTCAGGCGCCGCGAGGAAGCGGATTGCGGCCTTGGCTGCCTTCTGGAAGGAGGCTGTGGCGGGTGGGGGTTAGGGTTCACGATTTAGGTTTTAGGGGGAGCTTCCTGAATGGTTATGTATGCTTGGGGGGGTGTCAGGGGTGAAATGACAATGCTGACTCACTGCTCTCGTTGCTTAGCAGGGACTTATCCTCAAGGAGATTCCAATTTTTGAGGGGTTGGAGGGCCAAAACTGTGATTCGATCTATAGTCTCGTCCGTCAAGACGCAGTCAGGGTCAAATGTATGGGACCCGCATATACTCAAGGGTTCCGGGATAGTGTCGTGTTTGAGATTTACGCCCCGAAGTATAGGCACTGGTTGGCATACTTGGAGCCATAGCTTATGTCGTCCACCTACAAATCCACTTGTTGAGGCGGAACTCGTCCGCAGCTCCGTTGTTGAGTGAGTCTTCGTCGATGTCTACAGTATCTTTAAAAACTAATAAACTTAGCCACCGTTGTCAAGAAAGGCTCAACTGCAGGCTGGAAGGATTTCTGGTTTATGACTCTGCAACAGCTTCCATAAGGGGCTGTCACCGGAAAGCCATTGCGCTTCGACAAAAGAGTGACAATAACCTTTAAACCCCTAAACAACAATCGTAGAAACAGTTTCCTAAACTTCTTATACAACTTGCAAAACCCTATCTAACCTTTTTGAAAGCCTATCCAACCTTTATGAAGCCCTTGAAAAAACATCTGACAAAACAAAGAGCACAAAGAAGGCAAAAAGCAGGCCTTGGGCATGCAAAGGAACCGCAGCAAAGACTCCTCCGCATCGGAGAGAATCTCTGGCCTCAGAGCTTAGGGCTTACAGGGTTTCTGGGCATGTTGTTTAGGGATTTTAGGATTTAAACAATTTTTTTAAAGTGAAAATCCGAAGAGCTTAGGGTTTACAGGGATTCTTGGGCTTTACAAGACTTATAGGGTTTACAAGGTTTTTATGTTTGCAAGGCTTTTATAGGGCTTTACAAGGCGTATAGGGATTTACAGGGCTTGAAGGGTTTACAGGGCTTTTAGGGTTTGCAGGGCTTGTAGGGCTTTACAGGGCTTACAGGGTTTTTTTAGGGTTTATAGTGCTTTACACAGGGTTTTTCAGGGTTTACAGGGCTTATAGGGTTTACAGGGTTTTTCAAAGGTTTATAGGGCTTTACAGGGTTTTGCGGGTTTAGGGATTTTTAGGGTTTATAGGGCTTTTGCAGTCTTGGGGACTAGGGTATAGGGCATTCCCTGACCGGTTTGAACTGATTTTCGTGTGTTCTGTGTGGGAGTGCTTTTTGTGCTTCTGCTTTTTGTTTGCATTGTGGAGGTCTGAGGTCTTCATAGTTCACCTATAGTCTCCATTGTAGTTCCTTTTTTGGTCTTAAATTATATATTAAGGATCCTAAAAGGTAACCCCAAAAAGGAGCTACAATGGAGACTATAGGTATGTTGTATTGGTTGAAACGAACCAGGTTTTGGAGAGCTCTTCCCGGATTTTTGGTGTTGTGTAAGGCTTCAAACGTGCAGGGTCGGGGTTTGTGGACAAAGACAGGACCCACACTGGAAAAACCGACAAAGGACAGATCCAAACACGAAGACAAACGAATGCTCATCACAAACAGCCGAAACCCTCAAGCCTAAGTCGCCCCTAAACCCTAAACCCGAAACCCTAAACCCAAAGCACCCTAAACTCTTATAGGAAAGGACAAACTCCTAAACCTTAACTCCGAACCCCTTAGAAACACCCTAACCCCTCCAACAGGCCCCGAAAGCCTTAAAACCCCCAAACCCCAAACCCTCGAAGCCCTAAACCCTTCAGGGAAGCCCTTAAAGGAACCATCAAAGCCCAAAAAAACCTAAGCCCTCAACAAAAAGAGAGGGTCCGTGTACACTACCATTATGGCATTTCGCCTCAAAAAAACATCCTAATAATAGTTTTGGCGACCTACATACAGTCTCCATTGTAGTTCCTTTTTTTGGTTTAACAAATCTTAGATTAAGGATCCTAAAAGGTAACCCAAAAAAGGAACAACAATCGAGACGATAGGTAGTTCCATAAGACTAGTATTTATGGACCCTCTGGGACCCTAAACCCTCTTTGAGGGCGCCCGGGCTAGGCGGTTACTAGGGGTAAGTAATGCTAAACAGGAACCCTCAAAGCCCTAAACAACCCTAAGCCCGCTTTGAAGCCCCAACGCCGTAAAATTCCCAAAACCTTCTTTGAAGATCCTTAAACCCTAAACCCTAAACCCCCCTAAACCCTAAACCCCTAAACCCTCCAGAGAAGCCTTTAAAGGAAGCCCCCTTTCAAAGCCCCCGGGCTGATAAAAGAGCTGCCGCAGGAACTCCTGCAGTTGGCGGCGTCGCTCCTCGCCGAGATCGCTCCGTAGGTGCTTTTTTGAGGTTTAGGATTTAGGACCAATTTAGGAGTTTAGTGTTCCTTTAAGGGTTCCTGTAATGGTTTACGGTCTAGGGTTAAAAGGAATTTATGGTTGCTTTTAGGGTTCCTAAAGTGGCTTGGGGTTTAGGGCTGAGGCTCTGGTTTAGGGTTTAAGGTTTTGAGCTTCAGTTGCAAGGTTTAGGGCCTCTCTGTAGCTCTAGGGCTTACCAGCACACTACCCAAGTACATTTTAAAGAGCTCCGATACTTCTCATCAAGAGGTAGTTGGGGCTTCAATGAAGGGTAGTTCAGGGGTGGAAGGGGGGGGGTTAGGGTTCAAGTGGAAGGTGTAAGGCTTAGGGTTGAGGGCTGGCCGGGTGACGGGTGGATGAAAACGGGTTTCTTCGCTGTATGTATTAGGACCAGGTTGCAGGCTTAGGTTACAGCTCAGAGTGTTTGGGTACTCAGCATATGCTTGTAAAGTAGTTTTAAAGATACTGAAAGCAACACGATGCATGACACGTCATCATATACTGCAATACCACATTGTGGGTCTCTCTTTCTCTCTCTATACACACACAGGCAGATACATGCATGCATACAAGCATAATTACGGCATACATGCTGACTGCACACTTGCTTGCCTAATAACATACATGCATGCATGGGCACATAGAGCCAGACAGGTACACACATAGTAAGGTATCGTAGCGAGCATGCTTTGACTTGGCGTAGTATCTTACAGTCTGCGAGAATTTGCTTTTAATGTATTGTCGCTCACAATGCTTTGCATGTTACGGCCGCAGCAAGTTCGGGCTGTAACGTGCTGCTGGCTGTCGGAGCATGGCATGTGCGCGTTTGTTGCTGGCAAAAGCTCATGACCCTATGTCTGCCTGAAGGTTTTAGGGTGCAGGGCTTAGTTGAAGGTGTAAATGGGAGTTTTGGAAAATAAGGGGTACCCTATTGGGGGGTCCTTAAAATAGGGATCCTTCTATTTAGGGTACTATATACATGGAACCAAGCCCTAAAGGACCCTCTGTAGGCCCTAAGCCCCAAACTCTTATACCTCCCTGTAGAGAACCTTCAGGCTACCCCATGATGCCCTCTAATTTTCCCGTAAGTAAGCCGCAACCGGGCCGCAACCCCAGGTCCTGAACGGTGTTGGGCTCCTCGTTGCCCCAATAGTAGGTCCGAGGCCTCTGCCAAGAGTCTTCTAGCAAAGGGGTTCTGTAAGGGTTTCGAACTTAAGGCCTTGCCCTTCACCAGACACTCCACAACCGGCTAATCAAGCAACTACACACTGTTTCTTACCATGGTTCGAAGCATACCCCTAATTCACTGGCAGTCATGGTCTTGATATCCCTTGGTCCTGTCAGGGTGTAGCGTAGGTGCTTAAGCTGTGCTTCAGGCGCTAAGGCTACCCCAGTACAACGGCTACAAGGCTCCTCGAGTACATAAGTAGGGCTTGTGGGCAGTAGGGCTGCGAGTTGTTGTTTTGGAGGCACCCTTTCGACGAGCAGTGGTACCGCTCGAATCTCAGCCACCGCTGAAAGTCTAAGTTTAGGATTTAGGTTTCTGGTCAGGTACTGGAAATCTGGACTAAACCTTTGCCATCAGGTACACTACTGCAGGAACAGCTTTTCTTCACAGGGCTTCCTCATTCCTGTATCTACGGCTTCAGAAGATACTACAAAAAGGCTCTTGGACGCTGCACGAAAGGAGCCAGACAAATACAACAACACCTATTCCTTTGGGTTCCTCAGTACAATATAAGTAAAGGAACCTAGTCTTCCCACCCTGATCGTATTTCTGCTGGGGCCACGGCAGCTTAGGCAGCTGGAAAGGCACCTGGAATTGCCAAACATTGAAGGCTCATGGGTGTCGTCATGGCTATGGCTATACGCATGCCTGTGCTCATAGTACGAAACTGAAATGTTACTACCGTAATTATTTACCGTAGTTCTACCTGAGCAGTACCTGTGACTCTTCAAGCACTGTGACGATGGCCCTCTGCCTTTTGAAACTCGCACAATGACAACTCGGTGCTTGGTACTGTCTTGGAAACGCGGACATTTCATGGCTCTAGCCATGAGCTCGTGCTGCATTCGTTGCGGTCACTTCTTGGCTAAGGGCTTAGAACAGGGTATAAATATCCTAAATTTAATTTCGAGGTCTGTAAAAGGGCTTATAGACTTTATAACGGTATAGTTATCCTAGGGTTTAGCACAAGGCCTTGAGAGTTCAGGAGTCAGGGTGTAGGTCCCTGGGATCGAGGGTACGAGCCCAAAATCGCTCTTCAGCGGCCTCTCTGCCCTTCGATAAAGTTTCCCACAGGGTCCAACGGTTGATGATATAAATCCTGCATTACCTTAAGGACCTTAGACTATGGGAATTATGGTATATTCCTTATTATTATGGGTAAAGCTGGATTTATATCATCAACCGAAGTATCATTATGGCATATACTTGTAGGGTATTTTGGAGGTCTAAGTATATTACATAGTGATACTTGGACCCTGTGGGTTTGTACGAAACCCTAACGGCCCTAGCAAGTTCGATGACATGTAACTTAAGGAAATACAGTTTAAATCAGTGTTTAGGTCATATGGTCATAATATGGGTTTTCTAGCACCAAAAAGGCTAAAGGTCATCTACTCGACTGCTAAGTCTTTAGTCCGCGAGGCCGACATAAACTGTTCGGCTACAGCGGAGGCCACAAGCAATGCCGCACAAGCACATCTTCTTTACAAACGCACGGAGGCGGCGGTTCGAACCGCGACGCGCTGCACTAAGGGGGGGAGCAGGGGCAAGGTTTTCTGCTTCTCTGCTGCCCTCGTCCTGCGCATCTCTGTGAACCAGCAAGCTGTAAAGTATACATACATGCACAGGACGGCGGCCACACCCTTCCCAACTGCAATTGACTCTGCACTCACTTGCCGCGCTTCTTCAGCGCGATGGACTGTGCGAGCTGGCGCGCCTTGGCAATACACCGATCTCTGTATGAAACAACCCGAAACTGTATGAAACCTGGACCTGAACACTAAATCATAAGCCATCACATCTAGATCTTCTCTGTTGGGGTCTACGAGTATTTAGGCTTTCGGGGTCATGGCGGGATATTGCAGTTGCCGCTCAAACACACAACCTTCTCTGCCAGAGCCCACAGCCCCGAACCTCAAACCCTATGGCCCTTGCACATAAGCAAAAACTGGGGACATCCCATATAGATCCCTTTATAATGAAGCCCAATAAGGTAGGGATATTCTTACACAATGCTCATGCTTATGCCCGCTTTGGGTCCCTAGCTATGATCCCTGAGCCAGAAGTTACCCTGAAACCAAATCCTTTGTCTGTTAATGTAGGAACCTGATTAAGAAACCCATCACCCCAAAATAGTAGGATTCATATAAGGAACCCTAATAAAGGCCCAAGGTTTCTTAATCAGGTTCCTACATTAGTGCCACCATGACATGCTTCCCCAAGAAGGAAACGGCTGGAAAAAATGCTTCGGCCTTCAAGAACTGCCAGCTCATAGAGTCATAGTCATAGACGAGGTTACCCAGAGGGTCCATATACACCACTATTGTGGAATTAGGCCCCCAAAACCATAATGGGGATGGTCTTTTAGGGCCAAATTCCATAATAGAAGTGCATACGGACCCTCTGGGTTATAGATGAGATTCCATGAGGACTGAGAGAACCCTCAACCCTAAACCCCAAACCTGAAATCCCAAACCCTAGACGCCAAACCCAACACCCTCAACCCTAAGCCCCAAACCTGAAACCCCAAACCCTAAACCTGTACACCCTTAAACCCCCAAACCCTACACCCTCAACCTTCAACCCTAAACCCCAAACCTGAAACCCCAAACCCTTCAGGCAGAGTGACCCTCTGGGACAGCTCCTTCACGTACCGCCAGTTGCCCTGGGCCACGGCATCCTCCCAGGGCCCCAAACTGAGTGTTTAGGGCTGTCCTATAGTCTTCATTGTAGTTCCTTTCCTTGCTTAAAGACAATTATACATTGAGGATTAAGGATCCTATAAGGTAACCCAAACAAGAAACTACAATGGAGACTTTAGGTAGGGTTTAAAGTTTAGGGTTTAAGCTTTAGGGTTTGGGATAAAAAAGGTTCCCCTGAAGCCCTATAAACTTCAAAACTCTAAACCCAAACCTACGAAGAATAAACAACCACAAACTGGGTCCTGTGGAACCATCCAGGAGCCACCGCAGCACGCCACTTGCGGCACCATCAAATATTTCCTTGGAACCCAAAGACTCTAATATCCCTTACTTAAGGAACATACCTTAAACCAGATTAGGGATCCTACCATAATTTAACGCATATTCCTTAATTAAGGAACATACCTTAAATCCGATTAGGGATCCTACCATAATTTACGGCATATTCCTTAATTAAGGGATATTGGAGTCTCTGGGAAGCTCTTGACTGGTCAGCGCCATGGCGCAGCGGGGTTTATAACACATTTGCCTAGATCTTGCCCCTCAGCCCTGCAACCCGAAACCCTAATCAAGGTACCTCGAAAAGGGCAAATGTAATTCAGTATGGTTTAGGACCATAATCTTCGTTACCACCCTAAACCCTCCAATCTTAAACTCAGAACCCTTGTACTGCAGCATTTGCAAGCCAAGTTTCTCGAGGTTCTCTTCCGACACGCCTCCTGTCAGTAAAGACCCCGTGTTGGGTTTCGGGGTGGTTTGGGATTTAGGGTTTGAGGGTTCAGGTTTACGGTTTAGGGTTTTGGTAAAGGGCCCCTTAATAGAGCCGTTATGGTCCTTAATAGTGGGTAACTGGGGTATAGTAGAGGGTGGTTGGGGGCTCTAGGGTATTTACATTGTTTGAGCGTGCTTTCGGTGTTCGACTTTAGGTCTTGTTCTCGCTTTTGGTCTGGGTTTGGGGATTCAGGGTTTAGAGTTTTCTGTTATGCTGCATGTGACAATGTCGTTCAGCGAACATCCACGCGAAAGACATGTCTCTGCAGAATCTGTAGAAACAGAAACATGGGTCCTGTAGCTTCAAACTTGGCAGCTATTCCCCCCCAAAGGATGCACAACCCCCTGAACGTAGGACAAGTCAAAAGCAGAGTTGCACAACCCTGGCCCTAAACCCTAGTTACTAAACCCTAGACCCTACATAAGTCCCAAACCCTAATCGCCAGGCCGTGCCTGTGGGCATCCAGGTGATCTGCCCATATGGGGCGGAGATGGCCTTCAAGGCATTCACGCCTCCATTGGCCTGCCGCTTCTTGTGTTCAGGGCTTAGGGCTTACAGGATTTACCTATAGTCTCCATTGTAGTTCCTTTTTTCTTTAACCAATTACATATTAAGGATCCTACAAGGTAACCCCAAAAAGGAATTACAATGGATACTATAGGTAGGGTGTTCTAGAAGGGTGCGGTGATGCTTCTATCTCGGGCTCCCAAACTGCTATAGGGCGGAGTATTCGGGATTCCGGTCCGGGATTGCAGGGTTCAGGATTGTGCAATTCAAGGTTTAGGGTTTTGTTTAGAGTTCAAGGTCCAGGGCTTAAGCTTGGGGTTCAGGGTTCAGGATACACTATCTAAAACACTAACAGTCTAGGCGGCTGGGGGCTTTCCTGAACCCAGCCCCCTCCCGTACCCCACAGGTTTTGCCGTCATGATCAGGAGCCCTAGCGGTATCATGCTTTGATTTTTGTGTGGCTCAGGTAGGGCGGGCGTTGCACCTGTGGCTGAAGCTCTCAGATTGGTAGCCAGCGGCTTCACCAGCAAAGTAAAGCCCGAGGCTAAGCCAAAAGCTCTTGCCACAAACACACAGATTACATATGCGTATGAGAGAAAGCACCCCATGTACTCATAGGCAAAGGAGATCGGCAAAATACCAAAATACAGGCCAACATTAGCTACGAAATGCTCACATGCAATATGCTTTTACATAGTTGACATCCATTTGTAAGAATCCTAAACCCTCAACCCTAAAGCGCTCAGAAGCCCCTGCCTCTGCTGGAAAGAACTTCAGCACCGAGAGACCCAGGCGCAGCGCTGTCTCGACCTGCGCCGGTTTGAACATCTGGTCGCTGTCCCAAGGAAACCCAGTGCTCAAGTTGCCTCAATAATGGGCGTACCTTGCCATTTAAAGGAACTCCGTCATGAGATGGTTACTTGGCTGTTCGATGTATTGCCATGATCGGCAGCTGAACACGATAGATGACATTGAGAAACGCCCTTCGTCGCAGCAGCAAGTAGTTCTGCTAGCAGTTCCTAAAAAGGCGAAAGGCAAAGTAAGATGTATGTTCCGACTGCTGCTGCCGTCTTACCTTAAACCTCAAGAATAAGACCTTATTACAAGGGCCCCTGAGACCTCGTTCCAAGGGCCCCTCACCAAGGCCGCCATTGCAATCACCCTAATCGTCTGACACCACAGCGGAAACATCGCCACAGCGGGCTTAGGGCTTTTAGGGTTTAGGGGCCAGGGAAGATGCTGCAGCACAATCATGACAGCATCCCCTGTGCAAGCCCTAAACCCTTATAACTTTTAACCCCCAAGTGCAATTCATCTTGCAGTGTAAGAGTTAGGATTAGGGGGACCCTCTTGGGGATATAGACCCTCTCACTAAGATCCCTTAAGAAGGGTCGCCTCTAAGGGGTCTCCCTCGTACTACCCAGGACCCTAAACACCAAACCCCCAAAGAAACCCTAAACCCTAAACCCTAAACCCTAAATCCCTAAACCCTAAACCCTAAATCCCTAAACCCTAAACCCTCTACTGCCCAGTAGCCCCCCCCCCGGCTGCCGTGGCCTCAGTGGGAGTTGCAACGCCCGGAATGACAGCAACGCCAATTTCGAGGCACCAGTTCACGACCTTCCACGGTTTATGATTATTAGTAGGGTTTAGGGTTTAGGGTTTAGGGTTTAGGGTTTAGGGTTGATTGTTTCTGCTTTTATTAGTATAGCTATCCCTATTGTTATTATTGTTGTTGCTAGTAGTATTTAGGGGGGCGGGGTCTTTTGTGTGCAAGGCTTCAGGGTTTGGGAGTTGAGGGTCTAGGGTTGCTCAGGGTTCATACACCACCCTAGTCCACTGTCAAGGTACCTAATCTAGGGGCCCTAATGATTTTGAACAGGGTTTGGGGGCCCATTATACTATAAATAGAATACGGAATGCCCACAATAGTATTGGTAATCAGTTAGGCCCCTATAGTACTTCACGTCCGGTTGAGGGCTCAGAAACTTCGAAGGGCAAAGCTGCAAGAGGCTCGAATACCGTTTGTTAGGCTCCTTTAAAGCTTTGACAAATGCTCTTGAGCATTTTGGCGTTTATGTAGTTTTACTATGGGGTTTTATGGAGAGAACTTTGCTTGATAGTATGGAAGTAATAGGCTTACCCTCGAGCAACTCAGCCTAAACCCCAAAAACCCCAGTTAAACCTAAACCCTCAACCCTGCATCATGCTCTGGCCTCCGCGTTCAGTCCCGGAGACACGATGAACTGGGCACCTGCACTGACCGCCTCGGCATGGTGGGGTTAAGGCTTAGGGGATTTAGGGTTTAGGGGTCAAGATTTAAGGGTTCTTTAAGGGTTCCTCTAAGGCTTCTGTAAGGGTTCCGTTAAGGGCTCCTTTAAAGGTTCTATAAGGGTTCCGTTAAGGGCTTTAAAGCGGCTTAGGCCCAAGGGTGCAGCATTCGGAAGCGATCTAGTGGGCAACGGGGGCGAGACACGGGTTCTCTACGAGAAGCTTCAAAGGCGTTTATGTGGCCTTCTGGGTTGTACGGGATTTTTGTGCCGCTTTATCGGTGCTTTATAGTAGAAGAAATTATGGAGGTGGCTCTGCCTGGGAAACTACCTATTCGCTTTGAAACTGAATTGTGCCTAATTCTGAACTATACCTCAACAGAGCAGGATCCTGTTCCAACTTTCTGGCTTCTAATGGTTCTACCGTAAGACGATTTGTCTTAGATCAGGGTGCGGCACCGCCTGCGCAGCCCCTCACCCCAAACAAAAACAAACTACAGAAGTCTTGAAGGCCCAAAATAAAGAACCCCAAACAAAGCCCTTAACCCTAAATTCAACATACAAGAGTCTTTCCCTAAAGCTCTATGACCTAGAAATTTTCAGCCCTAAGGACCCCCAGCCCTCCAGCCCTCTAAGACTCTCTATGACCCTTATGACGCTGTACTATAGAGGCCTCAACCCTATAGGAGTCTTGAAGCCCGAGAACCCCCAAACCCTCGGGATGTTAGCCGTAACTCGAAGCCCTAGGCAAAGCCCCAAGGGTCCAAGAATCCAACAATCATGTACTCTCCAGAATCCTAACCTACATAACTACCATCCTAAAACCGAGTACCTAATCATTGGATCCTTGGGGAAGAGTTTACTAAACTCTAAATCCCAGAAGAGTTCCCTAAACCCCAACCCCGAAACGTGTTCATGGTTAGGATAGCATTAAAAATTTAAATGTGTATTCCTTATTGGGCCTAAGCACCCATAAAAAAATATAAAACGTTACCCAACTATGACAAAGAAACCCCAAACCCCGAAAGGGTTCCCCTCTGAAAAGGCCGAGGAGCTCTTTTCGCCTGGTCCACGGAAAGGACCGTCCCGGCACCGACCTTCCCACTGTTTTGGAGGCGGGTTCCCGGGTGTTACGGGGTGTTGAAGCCTAGTTGCTGAGTTCGTAAGCCCCAGAAATGCACACTTTCAGTTTTTATAGTGGTAATACCCTGGGGCTCCAAATAGCCCAAAGTAGGTATTATTTATAGACTTTAGGCCCCAAAGTAGGTACTATTTGTATACTTGGAGCCCCAGGGATATTATCCCAAAAAGTGTAAATAAGGGCCTTCTAGGGTGGCTACAGGGCTGTTGTAGGGCTTTGTCGTGGGTCGCGGGCTACTGCGGTTTTCCCTTGTTGTCAATATCAAGCCTTGCTTGATCGCGGGTAGGCAGTTGTTCGGTAGTTGAATACAAAATCACCTCAAAACCACCCAATATCAAAGTGCAACATCCTACTACCTTACTTCTGGACGAGTTCGACCCCTCATGTGTGGTGTAGCAGCAACTGCTAGCTGCTGTTCTTGTCATCACGATTCTTGTGAGTGAATGGGAGTACCCATGATTTTTAGTCGAAGACGCTAATCCTAAACCCCTGAAACAGCTACTTATCGATGTATGGTGTACCCTTGAACCCGCATTGATAGAGGCTCCAACTACCCAATTCCTCGGGTGTCAAGCGCCCAAGACCATTCGCCGAAGGGCTTGTAGTATCCAAGGCTCTCATATGGCAAGGCTCCGAAATCACAGAAGCTCCTGATACTTCCTAAATGATTAGAACAAGGTTTTGGGGCTATATCATAGCATAGTCATAGTCACAATGAGGAATCCTAAGAAACATCATAGGCACTCATTATTCATAGAAGCCCATGATCCTTCCGAAAGGGCGGTAGGACCGCTGCTTACGAGCCGAGCTTCCAAGGCAGTGGGCTCCGCTGCTGCCATCCTCCTCAGCGCCTCCTCCGATCTCGAGCGACTTAGCTTGCGTGGGGTTTAGGGTTTAGGGTTTAGGGTTGCGTGCTGGCCCTTCAAACCTTAGTTTGTTCTTTGTGAAAGGGCTCGGGGTTTACGGTTGTTTAGGGTGTAGGATTTCTTTTGAAAAAGGGTTCTGGTTTAAGGACTTGGGTTTGTGGTGTTTAAAGCTCCGCTGGAACCCCCAACTATATAGCCCCCATGAGACGCTCATACAGACCTTTCAAGGCCCGAAGAAAGCCTTCGAGACTCGTAAAGCCCTAGAGCCCTGAGCATCAACTCCCCAGCCGTACTTAAACTCTACATAAACCCAAAGCCCTAATTGCCTAAGCTAAAAACCCCTACTAGGGGCCCCCAAAAGGGATCCTCTGGAACCCTAATAAACCCGAAATGCCTCATCGAACCTGCAACAGCGCCCTGAATGACCCAATCCCTATGATGCCCTATATATTCAAGGAGAACTGCCTATAGTCTCCATTGTCGTTCCTTTTTTGTTTTTCTAGGACCCAAAATAAAATTGGTAAAACCAAAAAGGAACTAAAATGGAGACTATAGGTATTTTTGGACCCTACTTTAATTTAAGGTTCCTAGGATGCGCCAAGCCAACCCGTTTCAATCCGAGGTCCTCCGCAGCAGCCGTCCGGAAGACCACCTTGCATCCCAGGCAATCTCTGGAAAGCCGCTTGGGAGGGATGTTTTACTGTTTTGTTACTCTAATAAGGAACCCCCGAAACCCTATTCTAACTATATTAAGGCCCCTACATTGAACCCCCCCAGCACCAAACCCTTGCCCCAGGGGTCCAAGTACGTAATAATCATATACTCTCCAAAATCCTAACCTACATAACTACTATCCTAAAACCGAGTGGGGTTGACCCCCAAGCCCGTTAGCCTCACCACCCTGTAAAACCGCTGCAAACACGCCACCTGATCGACAAACCTGAATGCCTGCAAAAGCCTGACAAAACCCCCATCGCCCCTGGTTCAAAACGAACTACCATCGGTGATCATCCTAAAACCCGAGAGAACCCGGATACAACCCCGCTCACCCTCACTCAAAACATCGCTGCCTCTATGGCTGTCAGCCCACCCTCGATGAGAGCGGCAGCTAGCCTCGGATCCGGTATTATCTGTAGTGTCTCTGTTTAAGGATTTAACTATCGGGTTTTTATCAGGGTTCCATATGTAGGGTTTTGTAAGGTATGTATTTCAAGTTGTTTAACACAAGATTTGCATATCTGGTTTACATGGGATCCGTAAGCAAGAACACGTTTAAGAATCATCGCGTTTGTGGAGCTTTGGAGCCCGCACTGTTTAGGTCTTTGGGGGGGGTATGTCAGGGCTGTTTGGGGCTCAGGGCCCTAGGGTTTGAGGGCTAAGGGCCTATAGGTTTCGCAGCTTGCCCCTCATTAATTATGTAGTACCTCTTCCATCGTGCAGGAATTTAGATAAGGCATTTTAAGATGAATTTCGCTCTGGGTTTGGCTGTACTCGGGTGTTGGGGGAGCAAGAAGACTGGTAGTTGCGAGCGAAAACCAGTTTAAAAGCAAAACAGCAACAACAAAACATGACAAAGTCAATCAAGTCTCAGAATGTAGCTATCACTTGCTGCTTGTAGTAGCTATCTACACCCAAAGCCCTAGGAGCCTTACGTCCTTAAGGCCTTATCCCCAAACCCTAGCAAATGCTACGTCACAACCCCACATGCAGTATAACCCCTTAAGCAAAACACGGTAGGTAAAAGGAGCCAGAGGCTTAACCCTCCGAGCCTTGAGAACTGAACACTAAAGCCTAGTTGCTGAGTTCATAAGCCCCCAAAAGTGTACACTTTCAGCTTTAATAGTGGGTAATACTATCCCAAGAAGTCTCAGCTACTAAGAAAGCCCCTAAGAGACCGCACAGGAAACCTTAAACTCTCAGGTCTAGCTCCGGGCGGACGGTTTTCAAAGCCATGAACGCCTCAACCTTAATGGGGACCCCTACCCTATAATGGGCTATATAACGGGTATATAATCGCTATATTAAGGGTATATACCTAGGGTCCTTAATAAGCCCAGTTCAATCCAAGGCGCGCTGGAGCGCCAGAGGCGTCCTCAATCCCAGGGGGGAGACGGCTTCAACTTTCTCTAACTCAACTTTGCGTTCCTGTCAGTTTTTTTATTGTAAGGGTTCCTCTTAGGGGCTTTAAGGGTTCGCGTTCCTTTGAAGGGTTGCTAGAAGGGCTCAGTGCTTGAGGTGCTAGGAGTTCGGGTCAGGGGAAGCGCAAGCTGCATGCGCGACATACAAAACCCCTCGCGGCCGATACAACCCTGCAAAACCGTACGACCCCTAAACCCCAAGCCCTAAGGCCTATGCCCCTTTGCTGCAGAATGTCCTGCATCGCGACGACTGGCACCACGAGAGCCTGCTTCAGTTTCTCAGCCACCTGCAGCCATCCACTTTGGGGGGTTTTCTTGCCAATGCATACCGTTCTCTATGGATGTACTGCGCACAGGTTAAGTCTGTTAAGTTTCTGTATACGCAAATCTCTACGGTTCTGTAAGGATAACTGGGTGCATGCTAAGCTTCCTCAAGAGGGTGTTGGTACTGCCTTATCAGGGCCTTATCATTTATCAGGATTTGAATAGGTTTTCTTAGTTGCTTATTGGGCTTAGAAGACCTTGAGGGCTTATGGGATCTAGGCTGCTTGCAGGGCCCCTTGACCACCAACCCAGGGACCTAGACCTTAGAAGCTGCCCCCGCCCTGTGATAGTGACTATAAGGATTATATTAGGGCCCTATTATATTCCTATTATACCACTATTACAGGGTGGGGGCCCCTTCTAACCTAGACCTGGGTTACCCTGACTCTGACACCCTACATCGTGCAACACCGAGCCGAGCAGCTTGTAGCACTGGCAAAGACTACCTGCAGGCCCTATCCTATCCCCAAAGCCGAAAGCACCTGCATTTTGGAGATAATGTATATAATCAAAAGTATAGGGGCGCATGTTCTATGAATCCTACTATTTTGGGGTTAATTATAGGCCCAGGGTTTCTTAATCAGTTTCCTACATTACCACCTTTTCAGGCGTGCTGGCCTGAGCAGTAGCCTTGATGCCCGGCCGCGGCCGTGGCGCCCCTGCTCGCCTGGACAGCGCCAGCGTCAGGCCCACACCTGACCATGAAGAGAACGAACACTTCTTCCTTACAGGGTTCTAAATAGGCTCTGGGCTTTCAATGTTTAGGTTTTCTACCTGCTTTTCGGAGAGCTAGAAGGAAATCACAATAAATAACCTTCAATCTGTGGTGTTTAGGTACACCCAAGCTCCTGCACACACCCAGAGAGCTCAATACCCCTAAACAAGGCATGTAGCTCTAATTGTTGGGCTGAGGCCTCCTGTGATTCAACCTACTTGTCAGGTATCATGGGGAACCAAAGGTCCAGCTTTTTGGTTATATAGGAACTATATAGGCGTATAGGAACTACACTACACAAAAAAGGTGAAAGGCTACCTACTCTACTACTCGGTCAAAAACAGTTCTTCGCTTGAAGAGGACAATCCTTACCTTTGGTGAGTAGGGAATGGAAGAATAGTAGTAGTAGTAGTAGTAGTAGTAGTAGTAGTAGTAGTAGTAGTAGTAGTAGTAGTAGTAGTAGTAGTAGTAGTAGTAGTAGTAGTTAAAATTGTACCCCATTCCTGCTAACCAAAGGAAAGAGTTGGCTCTCTGAGCATGTGGGGGCCTGCTAAAGCTCCAGCCGCAGCCCCGACGGCCACGGCGCCCAAGAAGGCGGATGATGAGCTTGAGGAGGACCTTAACATGGGGATTTAAAGAGTTTTATAGGGTGCTAAGGGCTTTTACCGTATTTTGAAAGGGTTGACAAAGCGTTAGGGGGATTTTGAGGGGTTTCAGTGGATAATTTGGACTTATAAATTGATTCTTCTCTTGTTGAGATTACTGGGGTCCCCGCCCCTCTCCCTCTCCCTCCCTCTCCCTCCCTCTCTCTCTCTCTCTCTCTCTCTCTCTCTCTCTCTCTCTCTCTCTCTCTCTCTCTCTCTCTCTCTCTCTCTCTCTCTCTCTCTCTCTCTCTCTCTCTCTCTCTCTCTCTCTCTCTCTCTCCATGCAATTTAGTTGCTTTTTTGTGTGGATGCTTTCGTAGATTTCCAGAACGGCTTTGTAGAGGGGTTGTTAGGTGTATGTACATCCATCCATCCATCCATCCATCCATCCATCCATCCATCTGTGCATGCATGTCACCGTTGACATTGCAAGCTGTTGCCGTTCCTCCTGGCGTGCTATCGCCGATTTCGGCTCCTCAAGAGGTAGTGAGTCCAAGTTCTATACCCCCAACCAACCGGAACCTCGCTTAGGCTTGACAGCCGATGAAGCCTTCTGGCTCCTGCCTTTTGGATTTCAAACGCAATGCTGCAGTCGCTCGTACTCTGCTGCTCGGACCTTCGTCCACTCAAAATGTGGCCCATGGCTGCCCCAAGTAACTTGGCGCACCAAGCTTCCATAGATCTCTTCGTTCGCGCCTTCTCCGAATTCACGGATCATGAGCCCGGTGAACACGACATCCTCCGGGCTGTCAACGAGCCACTCTAGCTCAGAATTCGTTTCGAAGTTTTGGTCCATGCGAAGATGGGGTGGCCAGTACTTGCCTCCCAAGGATCCAGGCTTTACTGTAAAGGAGCTCGGACGCACGCGACACTCAAGAACAAGCTGCGCCCAATGATGCTGACGAATATGGAAAAATTCTGCATAGACTGGAAAAGCAGCGTACTCAATAGATGGGCTGACATAAATAGTGCAGCCGCTAGTGCTGTAAGCCTGGCCGTGTGCAACATGAACGCCTTCTTCACCTGGCCTTCTAAGTCCCCGGAGCATGATGGATGCGACGTTCCGGCAACTGGTCCCATGATATGCGATGCACCAATCCGAATACTCTTCAAAATTGTCGATTGCAAGGGAGCACCTGCGCCATCCGCAGGGCTTGAAATACGGATGTCCTCCTCGCTGACCATAGCAGGCAGGACTGAAAGAGTACACACGAGTGAACTGTGGATCAAAAAGCAGCTTGCTCTTGATCGTTGTCAAGATTTGCTCGAAGTAGCAATCCTCGTAGTGCTCCCCAAACACCTTCGTAAAGATGGTCATGAGCTCTGCATGTGTGCAAGGCAGTGCCCAGCTGCCAGCAAGAGCTGACCTGACCTTTTTCTGTCGCGAGCTCGTCTTGCAGTAATACGCCAAGGTATCGCTGATGGTACCTTTGGCATTCCAATAGGCACCATTCCTTGTTTCCATGAAGTAATCGCCGTTGTTTCCGAAGTAGACCTGGTTCAGCGTGTAGTAAGCTTCTGAGCTCTTCAACCAGCGTGAAAGCTCATGTCTTTTTGGCAAGTCCCACTGCCAAGCACCACTGTGGAAAAGGATCCACCAACCACTCGGGCGACCCAGCGCCAGATGCTTTACGTCCCAAGGATACTTCGCCACCAGCTCCTCTAATTTCTGCGGAAGGCCGTGCCACATCGGCTGGCCCTTGATTGGCTGAACGAAAAACGAATGCCCCGGGCCGAAGGCAACCCATGAGATCTGCATCTTCCCCTCCGCGTCTAGTGCTGCCTGCAGCGCTGCAGCAAATAAATCGGACGTGTTGCCGAAAAAGGTCGACCGGTCTGCGTCGGCGAAACTGAGGAACCACTCCCCATTCGGACCCAAAGCGACTTGGTGAATCCAGCCCGGTGGCTCTTTGAGCACCTTCTGCAGCTCTTCTGGAATAGAACCGCTGAAAGCGCTGGCCCACCGCCCAATTGGATCGTCGAGCTTGAGACACCAGGAAGAATCATCTTCGCCGAAAGCAACGATGCTAGGCCAGGCCATGGGCGCCAATCAAGCTTGGGTGCATTCCCTAAGGTTCATCTCGCTGTATACTATCTATGAGGCCCGAAGTCGCAGTATACAGTCTATAGGCACATGGACCCTAGGGCTTTAGGAATTGATAATGTGCCAAATGCAATTGACATGGATGGGGACGGCGAACTGAGAGAAGTGCCCTTATGTGGTTCCGAAGTTTCACTGGCAGGATCTATAAAACCCACCTGCGAAGGGAGTGAGGCCCAACCTGCAGAAACCCCTCACTGCCTTGAGCAAAGGCAGCAGTGTGCACAGAGATGTATCACTGAGGCGAAGTGCGAAGGGTTCGCGGTAACTCAAATGAATGTCGAAACAGAAAGAGCACGCGGCCAAGACTGGTAAGCATGGATCAGCGAATCCTCGCGTCAGTACAAGGAAAGCAGCAACCACCCACAATGCACAAGTCTCCGCATTCCTCTTCTCGGAAACGGCCGGGGGTCAGGTGCTTCTAGAGGCCTCCATACTCCTGAAGTGAGGAAGTTGTACCTTGCATTACGGAGAAGGGGGGTCGGGCATAACAAAAGAAGAAAGAATGAGAGAGGTTGGGAATAGAGGGTATAAGGGTTGTGGAATCCAAAGATGTAAGCATTTTGGGCTCGCGATTTGGAATATCCTGACTTGTGGAGCCTGGGAATTCAGAACTAGTTCTGACCGCAAAATGCTGTGGAGCCTCGGGCTTGACGAGGGGGAAAACTTCCGGCAGATAAGTATTCACATGGGACAAAGCAAGGCAAAGCCACACTACCAAAGATTCAGGCCAGGCACATGTCTGCACACGCGCGCAGGACTGTGCTATTTTTGGCTGGAGCCGATACACCGTCGCATGCAAAGTTTAATGCCAGCACTGCCTGAATATCAGGCAGTGCTTCACTGTTTGCAGTCCTGTTTTCCATGGTCACAGCCACGGGAATCTTTCCAGGTGCCAGGGATCCTCACTGCGGTGAGCTCGTGGAGGCGTTCTTACGAAAACCGGTCCAGCCTCCAGAGCATCTGCCTTCTAAGACCTTTGTGAAAGAATGAGTAACCCAATCCATCCATCAATATGTTATATGTATAGCTATGTGTGTGTGTGTGTGCGTACATATCCTACAGAAGTTCTGTATTACATACATATATATACTATATATGTATGTATATATATATATATATATGTACAGACATATTTATGTGCTTATGTGTCGAAATCCATGTGTAGGAAAACTTCGTCGAACAAAACGCGGTATGTAGCCCAGACGGACCGACGGATAAACAGACAGGAAGATAGGCAGGCGGGGTGGTAGGTATATGGTTTAAGGTTTCGGATTTAGCAGCTTTAAAAAGGTAGATAGACAGATAGATAGAAAGAGAAATAGATAAATAGATGGATAGTTAAACAGATAGATAGACAGACAGATAGACAGACACATAGATACAGCGAAAGTTATGCGCATGCACCCTGGCACCTTCTTCGAGATCTCTGCATGCAGGGTCTCGAAATCCTGAGACTCTCTCGTGGACTTCGCCATCTCGTGGTACTAGTAACAATCAGAATGACTTGCCATCAGGTCTCGGGCGTTGAATTGATTATCCGGCTCGCGGCTTGTGACTCTTGAGCTTCCTAGTTGCCCAGTATTTAACGGGAACTAAAGGTCAACCATTGGGATAATTGCTTAGGGCATTTTGAGAGCCCCAAAAAGGGGAACGGTCAGCTACACTACTTCTAAGGCTTCAGGGCTCCATCGCCCCCAGGACTTCGAGTCTCGGGTGCAGGGTGCTTTAAGGCTTCCGTTCTTACAAGACGTGCAACGTCTTGTGAACAGACTCTTCTGCTGAATCTCGTGGCATGTGTGGCTCTATAGGTATAGACATAAGATGTCTACTCTACCTACCTACTTATGGCACATGCATGGAGCCACAGTGCACAGAGAACTACCTGGCTGTTTTCCTTACACCCTAAAACCGGGAACCGTGACATGCTAAACCTGGTAACCGACAAACCCAACCTATAGTCTCCATTGTAGTTCCTTTTTGGGGTTACCTTTTAGGATCCTGAATATAAAACTGGTTAAACCACAAAAAGGAACTACAATGGAGACTATAGGAACTCCTTAAACCCTGAAAACCCTCAAAAACCCCAAAGCCCGGATCGAACTCTTGTAGCACGCCTTAGACACCCTAATAAGGAAGCCTCTGTAGCGGATCCCCAAAAGGATCCCTAGACCCTAAACCCTAATCCCTAAACTCAAATCCCTAAACCCTAAACCGTAATCCCTAAACCCTAACCCCCAAAACCTAAACCCTGAACCCCAATCCCTAACCCCCACGTCTCCGAGATCGCCGCTTCGAAGGAGTGCTTCGAGATGCCCGGAAGCCCGAAGGCCACGGCCTCAAAGCGCTTGGGCCACAAAGCTCCCTGTGTTAGGAGATCTATGAGGATTTATAGAGGGCTTAAGGAATCTACAGGGGTTTATAAATATGGGGGTCTATGGGGGTTTATAGAGGGCTTAAGGAATCTATAAGGGCTGATAGGGGGCTGAAGGGATCTGTATATATATATATATATATATACCGGAGATTATAGAGGGTTTAAGGGGTTAGAGGGCTTATAGGGTTTTAACATATTTTAACGGGGGGTTGAGAAAGCGTGACAATACATGACAAGGGTTATAAAGCAGTACGGGCCTCGGATGAAGCACGGCTTTAAGTGAAGGTAGCTATGGCGGCCCCAAGGCTCAAGGTAGGGTTTAGGGCAGGACATACAGGGTAGTTTATGTGATTGCTTATATTGCGTTCACAATGGGCACGAGAGCGTAGCCAGCCTGGGGCTTGCATGCTAGCTCAGCAAAATGCCTACCATGAACAGGTCAAGCCATAAGCACCGATGCTGGTTTATAAGTTGTAAGAGCTCCAAGAAGTCCGGAGCTTGGTATAGGAGAGCGAGGAGCCTAACATACCGACTTAGTACCTCATACACACGAGTTGACAGTCCATAACCCATCTGTCAAAAATCAAAAGAGCGTCCAAGTCACCCCTCAACCCTATATACACAATCAAAACAGTTGGACCTTTGTAAACCTTGCTAGACTCTGCTCTCCCCCGCAATATTGCTAACGTCATCCCCTTACGGTTTCATCCTAAGTATACTCCAACCCCCCCCCCCAGCTACACCCTAATCAAATTCCAAAGGCACCTTTATATAAAAACTCCAGGGGCCATCGGGCCTCGACCACAAACACCGAGTGCTTCCCGAGAAAGCCGGACTCGGCCTGGATGTCGGCTGTTTGTCAGATTTCCTATGAGGCGTCCATAATCAGTGCTTTGGGTTTGCTTGCCGGTTTCTATAGTGACTATAGTGGTCTTTTAGGTACGTACATGTAACCGATGTAACCCTACAGACGAATGTTGGTAGCTATAGTTAGAGGTTGAGATTGAAAGCTCTGGGAGTCCGGGCTTTCCAGTCAGCACAGAAGGACAAAACAAATTGGAAGGCGGAAAGGATGACAATGCTGGTATTCCTGGAGGCTTGCTTTGAGGACATGAGGATTACCACTGCGGGGTTTCAGGCATAAGGGCTCCAGAGCTTCTACGATGCTAGGCTGTAAACGCCTGCGGGGCTTGGGGTGATCGGGTGGGTCGGATCTGAAGTCCGGGAAGTAGTAGGGGACTTGTGTCTTAGGGTTTTGGGCTCAACATGGTAAAAACTTTCCCCAGGTCTACTGAGGTGCCGGTCCCAAAAACCTTGGCTTCTCCATTAGGCGTATGCCCGTAAAAGGGTTAGACCTTACCTACCCGGCTGCTAACACTTCTGAGCCTACAGGCATAGAGTAGTCTCGAAGAATCATGCGTCGGCTCTTCTTGAAGGATCATTGACAAACCCTAAACCCAAAGCTCCAAGCCCAAAGCCCTAAACCCCAATCCTGAGCACTCCCTCAACTCGAGCTGCTGGGCCACGGACCTCGATCCGCGGTATTGTCAGCCTGGCACACGTCGTTTAGTATAGTATAGTGACTATAGTGTAGTAAAGCCAGTATGATTTTCGTATGGTGTAGCAGAGTATACTATGCTGTACTGTTAAACAATATACTATATTGGGGGACTTGCTTCATGCGTCAGGGATAAGCCAGGCCTGAATTAAACAAAAAGCCCAAGCCCTGGTGCCGTTATTGAGTCACTACGTCCTCGAAAAATGGATTTAGGGTTTAGGGTTCAAAAAAATCCATAAACACTGATGTGCTAAATCCCACTGCTTACAAACAATAGCTTGACCATCGAAACAAACCAAGACCTCAAACCCTGAAGTTTAAACCCTGAACCCCTAAACCCTAAACCTATATCCTAAAGCCCCAAACAAAAGCCTGAAGCTCTGGACAGCCCGGCCTGACAGGCAAGGGCGGCTCTCCACTGGAGCGGCTGATGATGGGCTTCGATGGCCTGCTCGCATTTTGTCCGTTTCTTGTGGCTTAGAGCTTAGGGTTTTGCTGTTTCCAGGGTGTTAGGACTAATGAACCAATGACAATAAAGGATTTTGGGGTGGTATCATGGGTTTTTCGTGTCGAGACACACGGTCCCATCCTCCTCTGCTTGCTCCTCGGTGAGTTTTCTTCTTGCCGTTGCGTGCTCAGAATTACAAGTCATAATTGAAAACATTGCCCAGGGTCTAGAGGCGGCAGTACCAAGGTCGACCTTCCAAGCAGGTTGCACCCAGTGCCTTGCCTAGGCCTTTGTTGTGTATGCAGGACTCATGAGCATATTTACAACCAACTTGCAAAGGCCTCTGATCGTCCTCTGAACAAGTTCAACCGTAACATATATATATATATATATATATATATATATTTATTTATACATATATATATATATATATATATATCAGTTTTCTTCTCATATACCCCATAAGCAAGCTTCGAAGGATACACGAGCATGCTCTGTCCTTTCTCTTCTCCTACGAGCGACATGCATAGACAGCTGTGCATAGCCCCAACAAACCC